TTTTTCCATTAACTTTTTATTTTCATGTTTTATTGTGAATTATATGATATTTTACATGAGAGAACTTTAGTTTTACTTTCATTCCATTGTATATCGTCTCATTGCCATGGTTCCAATCCCCTCCATGCATCATCAACCTACCAAAGAGTATACCCTATAAATCCACTCCCTACACTCCCCCCCCCCATTTTTCAGCCCATAGTCCCTTTTCCTCTCTGGATTCAAAGTCCCCCACGTTGTCTTCTCTGTCTCCATCTCAGGCATCTCTGTTTCTCTGGGTAAGGTCCCGCTCTCGGCTCTTCTCCATTGTCTCCGTTGGTGATCCCAGAGACCTCCGCTCCTAAACTGGAGAATTAATCACTCCCTTCCTTGTTACAAAATGTCTACCTTTGCATTTCCAACCCTTATAATCCATCCTGATAAGCATTATTCACTACAGTCTCACGAGTTACCCATCTGTATTTCCTTTCATCAGCTCCGCCCAGACAGATTGCATAGTACCCACTGGAGATTCTGCCTTCCTTCATGCTCCCTAGCACTAGGTTCCCTCTTGAAAGCTTGTAAGCCAGTCACTTCTTGCCTTTGTAGTCCCTCCCCCCTCCCCATTTGAGTATCCAATGACCAAGTTGTCCATCTCTGTCCACTCTGTGTGTGGAGGGGGTGGCTCTTTCATTCTTGATTTTAGTAATTTGAGTCTTCTCTCTTTTTTTTAATTGGTCAGCCTAGGTTTGCCAATTTTGTTAATTTTTTCAAAGAATCAACTTTTGGTGTTGTTGCTTTTCTCTATTTTTTTTTTTTGACTCTCTATTTTATTTATTTCTGTTATAATATTAAAGATCCCTGTTGGCTGCCAACAAGCATTTCTAATCTAGCAGCCACTTTGTAGGAGAAAGTTGTGGCAATCTGCTTCCATAAAGACTACAACCTCGGAAACCCTAGAGGGCAGTTCTCTTCTGTCTTATAACATCGCTATGGATCCGAATTGCTCGACAGCAAACAACACCATCATAATATCTAGCATTCCTTTCTTTTTGCTTGTTTTGGGTTTACTTTGCTCTTCTTTTACTGGTTTCATAAGGTAGAGATAGTTGTTATTAGATGCCCTCAAATTGGTTCTGACTCACAGAGAACTTATACACAAAGCCCGAGACATTGCCCAGTCATGCACCATCCTCACAATTATTGATAAGCTTGAGTCCGTTACTGCTGTCACTCTGCCAATCCATCTACTTGGGGTCTTCCTCTTTTTTGCTGACCCTCCACTTTACCACTTCTCTAGGGACTGTTCCTTCCTGACAATATGTTTGAAGTATGAGAGATGAAGACCTGTATCTTGGCTTCTAAGGAGCATTCTGGCTGTACTTCTTCCAACACAGATTTGTTTGTTCTTTTGGCAGTCCATCGTACTTTCAATATTCTCCTCCAACACCATAACTCAAATACATTAATTCTTCTACAGTCTTCCTTATTCATTGTCGAACTTTCACATGCCTCTGAAGCTACTGAAAATATCATGGTTTAGGTCAGGTGCACCTTAGTCCTCAAACTGACATCTTTACACTTAATACTATAAAGATGTCTTGTGCAGCAGATTTGCCTAATGCAATACATCATTTGGTTTCTTGACAATTGCTTCAATGAGTGTTGATAATGGATTCAAACAAAATAAAGTATTTGACAACTTCAATCTTTTCTTCATTTATCATGATGTTATTTATTGGTCCAGTAACGAGAATTTTTGGTTTTCATTGTGTGCCTTATATTATTTCTGGCATTTAAAATATATTGAGACTCTTTTTTAATGGTGTAGCATATGCCCATTCTGGAGGATATTCCATGTACTCTGGAGACGAATGCATATTTAGCTGTTATTGGCACGTTCTGTTTATTGTGTGTAGTTGCTTTGCAGTCTTCCAATTGCAGTCTTCCAATTCCTTTCTGATCTTCTGTCTGGTTATTTTGTCCATTATTGAAGGCAGGGTACTAAAATATCTAATTATTGTTATTCACAAATTAATCATATTTAACCTTAAATTTTTAAATTCCTTTCACAAGCTGGGAGGACAAACAACCACCGTCTCTTTCCAACCCAGACCTTGCTCCACATTGGGCATTATGCTTATGCCTCTAGGCCCAGCTCAGTAGTCATGGTGGTCACGGAAGCTCTTTATTAGGCAAAGAATGGGATGGGTTTTAGTACCTCCCCTAAGAAGGGGCCCAGAAGGGATGAGCCAGCCATACTCGGCAGGATGGGCTGCCTCTGGGATCATTTGTACTTCTGCAGAAACTCACAGATCCTTTCTTTGACCCCCGGATCCAATGTTGAACAGTCCCAATCTGCCAATTTCACCAGACGGTCATGGGCCTCCCAGAATAGGCCAGAGCCAAGAGTCAACTCCACTCGCATGCGCCACTCAGCCAGCTTTGGGCTGCTGAGGAAGACGTTATAGTTGCCTCCCATGGGCTGTGGACAAACGAGGAAGGGAGGTCAGCCTGGGAACAGCTCCACCTGGGTCTCCTCCTACAGCCTCAGGAGACCTCCCCATCTACCTCCACAAACAGTTCCCCTCCTGATCCCTAAGGGCTGGAAACTGGGTCAAGAGCAATGTAATAGATGTGGGAGGAGGTTGGAGGATCTGGAGCCCTCCATACTCTTGATTACTGGTCTTCCTCCAATCCCCTGATCCCTTCTCTGAGGTGGTCACTAGCCTAGATGTCTCCCACTACTCCAGCCTGAAAGCTTCCATGGGTTTTGCCCTCATTCAGGGAAATTTCTTGTCCCCTGTGAAGAGGGGAGGAATTCAGATTCCCATGCCCCTGATTGAAACTCCCTCTGAGATCAATCATAGGGGTTGGACCTGGAGATGCAGCAGAAGCCTGCCCATCTCATTAAGAAACAGCTCAGCCATCTCATTAAGAAATATACCCCCAAGATATTCTAGAAGTCAGGAGGAGATGGGGAGGGTTAGTAAAGTGTAAGGGCTGCTCTACTTTCACAGGCTGGAGAGTTTTCCTGGTGCTGGTACACATTGCACACTGACCAGAGGCCAAAAGTGCCCTGTTACATAGTGCCCAGAGACCATATGGACCTCAAAAGACACTAACGTGGGTCTAAACACTAGCTAGGTAACTTTCCCTTACAGGTAGAGGGCAGGTCAATGACTCACACCCAGGTATGCCCCCAGGGTGCCCAGTCCGTGCTCCTCCAGGAGACCTGCCTCGCACTGCCTTCTGTCTGAAAGGAAGACAAGACCAGAAAGACATATTCCAGAGAGTCTGAAGGGAGAGGAAGTGTCCTGAAATCCTGGCAGAGTGACCAAGACCTATAGGTGCTTGTCTCCCTGTCCCAGGCTCACTTCCAGTTCCTCTGCACACTGAAGAACCTTTGTCAAGTATGGAGAATCATGACCTTTCCTGGTTCCAAACCTCAGTGTTTCCATTGTCCCTGGTTGACTCCAGGCACACAGACTTGGTTCCCCCAGCCCCCACAATGGCCCTCTCTGCCTCTCCTTCATTACCAGCCCACCCTCAGGTGATCACTTCTGCCCAGGCTCTGTCCCCATCACCCCACACCTGCATCATCTCCACCAGGGCCACCAGGTCGGCCAGGGAGACGTGGTCTCCTGTGATGAACATTCTGTCCTGAAGAAACTTCTCCTCAAAGAGCTGAAGATTGATCTTCACTTCTTCCAGGATCTTCTCTGTCTTCTCAGCGGATACCTCTTCTCCCGTGATCATTGGGATCAGCAACTGGCCAGGGTAAGGGGAAGAAGGGAAGAGGAGGGTGCACCCCAAGTCCTCTGACCCCCTCAAGCCTCAGTATCCTTGTCTTCCAGATGGATGTTGGGTAGTAACCAGGATGTAAAGTAGTTTCATCTCTTTTAGCAATTCTTATTCATAGAAGTTGCCTGGAACTATGTGTTCAGAAGGATTTTAGGCCCATTACCACCCCCATATACAGGATAGAATTCTGTGATTGATTAGTGCTGTCTGCCACAAACATAAGATAAGTAGTAATGCATGTATTCTATTTGCCATATTCAAATTTGGTGGTCTCCATGGTACTTAACAACAACAACAACAATGGGCCTTTTGGACTCCTGGTGTGGCATTGTAGGATCAGCACTGGACTGTGAACCACAAGGTCAGCAGTTCAAACCCACAAGCAACAACATGGGCCTCTTGGTATCCCTGGTGGCATAGCGGGTTACATGCTGGACTGTTAATCACAGGGTCAGTAGTTTAAATTCTCTGGCCATTCCATGAGAGTACATTGAGGTTTTCTGTTCCCATAGAGATTTTACGGCCTCGAAAACCCTATACAGGGCCACTATGAGTCAGAACCAACTTGATAACACACAACGCCGGCCTTTTAAAGGAGTCCTGTGGAGTCAATTCTGACTCATAACGACCCTGTATAGGGTTTCCGAGGATCGGCCAGTAAGCAGTTCAAACCACCTTGTGGTCCAGCGCATTACCCACAGCCTCACACCAGGACTCCATTGAGTCATTGTTGCTGTTGTTAAGTGCCTTCGAGTCAGTTCTGAACCTTAGTGACCCTGTATAGGGTTTCCAAGAAGGGGCAAGTGAGATTGAGCTGCCCATCCTGCAATTTAAACCAACCTTGCTGTTAATTAATCCACAGCGCCACACCAGGACTCATTGGGAATGTTTAAAAGCTCCCAACACCCTTGTGGGACAGAGGATGGGAGGTGATGGAGAGAGGTTCCTGATGGAGGGAGACCTTCTCAAATTCATGGGTGGTCAATAGGACCAGGCCTGGACTCCAGGTTTCCAGACTCCCTTCTCCCTGAGCCCCAGTCTCACGCAGGCCCCTGCCCCAGGCCCCTCCTCACCTTGATCCAGAGTATCTTGTTCATGGGCAGCTGGATGGCTGTGTGTTGCCAGGCCATGAATTCATCTACACGGGCACGCGTGTGCAGGTCTGGCGGGTACCAGTGTGAGGGTGCACTGTACTTTCGGCACAGGTAAGAGAGGATGGCTACACTACGGAAAGGGCAGGGCAGCGAACCATCAGCCCCAAGGTTTCTGGGGAAGGTCTCACCCAGGGCAGGCTGTCCATCAGTAGGGAAGGAGACCTGAGGTGGGGCAGGAGTTGGTGGTCCAGGCTAGGGAGCAGAGTGTGTTCAAACATGATACAGGGGAGGTCACAGCAATGTGAGGAAAGGAAAATAGTTGAGTGTGACTGGAAAGAGAGCAGAATGGAGGAGAGAAGGTAAGGTGCTCTGAGAGGCCCCATTAAGGAAGCCCTTGGAGGGAGAAAGATTGACAGCCTTGGAAACCCTAGGAAGCAGTTCTACTCTGTCCTGTAGAGTTGCTGTGAATCAGAATGGACTCAGTAGACAGCTGTGGGTTTTAAGGAGGCCTGGTAGTGAAGTAGGTTAAGTGTTGGCTGCTAACTGGAGGAGAAAGGTGAGGCAGTGTGCTTCTGCAACGATGAAAGTGATGGGGCTGGGGTAAATGGGAGGGAGGAAAGAGAACTGGAAACCCTGTGAGATGGTTCTACCTGTCCAATAGGGTCCCTTTGAGTTGGAATCAACTCATTGCCCGTGGGTGGATGGGTGGCTAACTGAAAGGTCAGCTATTGGAATCCACCAGCAGCTCGGTGGGAGAAAGCTCTGGTGATCTGCTCCTGTAGAGATTACAGCCTAGGAAGCCCTAGAGGTGGTTCTACTCTGACACAATGTGAGTTGGAATGGACTTGACAGCAACAGGTATACTGTGCTGGGCATGATACAGGTTGTCTGCATTGTTGTTTACAAATGCACTTACACTTTATAGCATTGTGAGATTCATGAAGATAAGAATCATGACCTTGTCTTGCTTGTTCCTTTGTTGGTTGCATTAAGAATGTGTCTTCAGGTTGTAAGGGGCCCTGGTGATGCAATGGGTTAAATGTTGTGCTGATAACTGAAAGGTGAGTGGTTCAAACCCACCAGTAATTTTGCAGTAGAAAGATGAGATTGTCTTGTTCCTACAAAAGTGTACAGCCTTGGGAACACTAAGGAACAGTTCTATTCTGTCCTATAGGAACACTGTGAGTTGGAATTGACTGAATGGCAGTGGGTTTGGAAGTTAGGGAGTGTCCCAGGGTAATGCCAATTGTTAACACTCTCAGTCGCTAACCAAAAGGATAGTAGTTTGAGTTCACCCAGAAGAAAGGCCTGGCTATCTACATCTGAAAAATCAGGCACTGAAAACCCTATGGTGCACAGTTCTACTCTAACACAAGAGTCAAACTGCTGGCAATGGGTGGGCATTGGAGGTTGTAGGGATGAGCATGGACTTCATCTCCAAGGTTATTGGTTCTCTAAGTAAGGGAATGACAAGCTCCACCTTGATCTTTAGAAAGATCCCTCTGGTACTGGACTGAGGGAGACCAAGACGTCAGCTGCCATGATGCCCAAGCTAGTGGTGTTAATGTCTCATGTGGGAAGGGGACAGAAGGGAGACATGCTTCACAGGGGACATCCAGATGGCTGGTGGGGGGAGTGAGGGGAGGAGTGGAATTGGGGAAGTTGTGGAACTCAGGGTGAAAGGGCATCTAATGAAGACAAGTATTGGGCTCCAAGATAGTCCTAAGGCTGAGTCTGATATCACAACACTAAAGTCAGAGGGCAGGCTGCAAGCCTGGGTAGAGCTGGCAGGCAAGAAGGAAGGAGCAGAAATGGGAGGAGGGAGAGCACAGGAAAAGGAGGATCAGTAGCCCAAGAGGAGGAGGAAGGATACAGGATCCTGAAAACATCTCTTTAAGACAAGGAGAACCAGGGCTGGTAACCAGGGGTGAGGGAGGAACCCTAACATCCATCTGCATGGGGCCACCTCATCTGATCATGTAAAAGTCCTGCCAAGTGGGTACAGGTGCCTGGAATTAATGTTTGAGGAAACTTAGACTCAGATAAATAGAGGAAGACCCCCAACGAGATGGCTTGGCCAAGTGGCAGCATCGATGGACTCAAGTGTGGCAACAGTAGTGAAGTTGGCCCAGGATTGGGCAGTGTTTCATTCTGCTGTGCATAAGGTCGCTATGAGTCAGTACCCACTCAATGGCACCTAACAACAACAGATTCAGATAAAGTAACTTGCAGAGGACATACTATCCCAGGGGTCAGGACTTGGGTTTAGCCAGCAGCCTGGCTGATCTTAGCCCCATTTTGGATCTAAACAGTGGGGACAGCTGGGCACCTTGGCCAAGAAGGTAGGAAGTGATGGGGCTGGGGTAAATGGAAGGGAGGAAAGAGAACTGGCAGCAGAGGAGGTAAGTCTCATCAAGCCTCTTCAGGAAATGGAGGGTCAAAGAAACACATCTTTTGAGGAACCATTAGCAAAATTCAGACTATGGGGAAAGCATAGGACAAAAGGCCTGCCTTTGCCAGCAACAAGATACAAAGAAAAAAGATGTGAAACAGCAACCAGCTATGATACTTGGAATTTATTTGGACCCTGATTTGAGCAAACAAACTACAAAGAAAATATTTATGAGACTTAAACACAAACTGGATGCTTGATGAAATCAAGGAATGATTGTTCATTTTATGAGCACTCATAATGATGTGAGGGGGCTGCTTTTTGTTAGAGTCCTCGTCTCTTAGAGGTACATTCCTAACATGTATGAATGAATGCTGGGGCATCTGGGAGGCAAAGGAACTCAGTGGTGGTACCCAAACACCAAAACCAAACCTGTTGTCAATTCTGACTCATGACGACCCTATATGGGCAGAGTACAACTGTTCCACAGGGCTTTCAAAGCAGATTGCCGGGTCTCTGAGTCGGTTAAAATAGGCAACCTTCCAGTTTGTTGTTGAGTTATTTACTGTTGGTATCACCCAGGGACTCCTCAGTGGGGTACAGATTGATATAAAATAGGCATGGGTCCTGAGTTGACCACTGTTGAGAATGATGCTGTTGTTGTTGTTGCTAAGTGCCACTAGTTGTTGCTAAGTCACTTCCAACTCATAGCAACCCTGTATAGGAAGGATTTACAAGGACTGGCTGGTAGGTTTGAACTACTGACATTGCAGTTAGCAGTCCAGTGCTTACCCTACAGCACCCACCAGGACTCTGTTGAGAATAGGTGGTGGATATGTGGAGTTCCTTAGATTACTTGTGAGCTGTTATTCGTTCTACTTTAGTGTGTGTATATGTGTGTAGGATTTTCCATAATAATATAGAAAATAAAGTAGTGCCTGAGGTTAGCTCCAGTTAACACTGAAGTAGAGTTGATGGTCGAGGGTCTGGGGAAAATGTTACCTTTCAGATAAGATAAATTTTCCATCTTTGAGGCTGGGCAGCTTCCTCAGGGGATTTATCTCGATGTACTCCTTGCTGTGGTGGTGACCTGAAAGGGCAGGAAAGGTCTGATGCTTCTAGGACCCCAGGGAAGAGAGCTCAAAATGGGAACAGTGAGGCCCAGGGAATGCTGTGGCTGCCCAGGTCAGCGGGCAGGCCAATGGCAGAGCAGGACTAGGGTCAAACTCCTGTCACAGACAGCCATACCCCATGGCCTCCTGCCTCTCTCCAGAACCAGGACAACCCTTTGGCTCACAGAAGCAGGGGCCTTCAGTCTCCATTCCCAACTTGGAAGCTGCAATCCCAGCCTGCGATTCAACCGCAGCCCTGGGGCCAGGAATTTCACCCCACTCCAGCCACCTCTCACTGCATCTCCCTTCGACAAGGAAGCCTGGTCTCAAAGCCAGCATGCTGCTGGAAAGCCCAGAAGAAGGAATCCAATTTAGGGGCAGGAGGTCTTTCTAGGTCAGCTGCCTCCAGGTAAAACCACTTATAGGGTCTCATCATGGCCCGTGCTCCTGTGTTACCCTCTGTACTCTTTCAAAGGCACTCTGTGCTTATATCAAGTTTAGTAATGGACTTCCTGGATCTTACCCAGGGTCTGCGTAACCTGCATAGATTTTGAAGATGAGGGGATGAAGGACATGGACCGAGGCAGCATCTGAACTCTCAGATGTAAAACAACCACACACATCTTCTACCTTTGCCAACCAAACTGGCAAGTACCGAAACGACGAGCTGCCCAACACCCCCAGGAGAAGGGAAAGGTGCCAGATGGTGCCTGAGAACTGTCAGTAGCCATTCCTTCCACTCCACAAAATCCCAATTGTCATGGTATCCGGAGAAGAAGAATCAGCAGCAGCTAGCTAAGGGAAGCTAGACACAGACAAGGCCTACAAATACCCTGGAGCCATGTCCTACTTGGTGGATCCTTGGGGCAGGGGAATCTTCTCAGTTTCTGTCCCCACTTCTCATAAATGCTGACCTTTCAACAGATCCACAAACTGGAAGTCAAAGGGAATGCTGTTCTTCCGTGCAAAGATGTAAACGGCACGGCAGGGCGCCGACAGCAGGTCCATGTACAGCTCGAGACCCATGCTGTGGCTGACGCTGGGTGGGGTGACTAGAAGCCAGGCCTGTGTTCAGCCTGCTGAGCCTCTGGCCCTGTGCCCACCAGCCCCAGGCTTGCTGTGTCTCCCACAAGGGCCCAGGGACCCACATTCTGGAACTTCTTGTTCAGTTGATGAGAAACATGGAATTCTCAGGGCAGCAAGGATTCTAAAGGAGACCAGGAGTCTACACATGTAGTCCATGGTGGCCAAGCCTCGTGGATTCCGTGTGTGAGAAGGGCTCTGAATTCTCAGGGCCAAACCTTCACTGTGAGACATACGACCAAGGGCTTTGCAGGGTCCAGAATAAGAAGGGGGCAGGGCAGTGAGGACCAGCCTGAAGGGCGCAGAGGGCAGGTTAGGGCTGTCATCAGGGACATCTAGTTGAGCTGTGGCTAGGAAAAGACTAGAAAAGAAAACATAGCTCTGAGAACTGGCTAAGGATTCTGGGAACAACACCACAGGGCAGTTGGGCAGCCACTACCGTGTAGAAGAGCCCAGAAACTGCCCATCTTAGTGGGGACTGACAGGTCACCTGACTGTACACTGGGACCAAGGAAGGTGACAGGATGGTACACTACATGACTTCCTGCCCCTTCTAAGGTCACCAATGGAGGGATCTGAGTGATGCAAGACAAGGTGCTGTGAGGGCACACAGTGTGTTTATTGTGGGCAGCAGGGCACCGGGGGGTGGGGGGTGGAGAGACACCCTCTCACTGGAACCTCTCCCACAGCCGCTCAGACAGCTCCGGAGCCAGCTTGGGGCCCCGCCTGGCCTCTTGGGGTTCCTGAAGTTGAAGCATGAGCGGGTGAGCCCTCCTGGATGAGTTTGAGGACTGAGGCAGCACCCATGCAGGGCTGCCAGGCAGACAGATGAGGAAACAGGGCAGCTGGATCCAGGACCCAGTCCAGAGCCCCTGAAGCCCTGGGATGGGGGGAGCAGGAGGGCAGGACTTACCTGCAGCTCCGTGAGTGCCCCCAGGAGACCAGTTGGGTGGCCAGGAAGGAGCTAGCCTGCAGGACTTCCTAGTCCAGGTGTTGCAGGGTGGTTGCTAGTCTCCCCTACAGGTTGGCCAGCTGTACCACATCCACAGGTTGACCTGAGAAGTGGAAAAGATCTACGTGTTCTGGATCTGTCCTCCACGTCTTTTTCTCCCTGCCCACATCCATTAGTGATGCAGCCTGGAGCTCTGTTCAGAAGGATTCTAAGGCCTAGTCCAGGTTCATAGTGCAGTGGGCTGTGAAAGATTAGCAATGTCTGTCTGAGGCAAGGAAGAGTATGCTGGAGTGGGCTAGAAAAGTCTGTCTGGAGCAGAAGAGAATTTGCTGGAGTGGGTTAGCAATGTCTGCCTAGAGCAGGGAAGAGTGTGCTACAATGGGTTAGTAATGTCTGCCTGGGGCAGAGGAAAATGTGCTAGGATGGATTAGCAATGTCTGTCTGGGGCAGGGGAGTGTATGCTGGGATGGATTAGCAATGTCAACCTGAGGCAGAGGAGAATGTATTGGGAATGTTTGCCTGGGTGGAGCAGGAGAAGGTAATGGTGGTATGAGCCACTGGTCCCTTCCAGCTCTAGGGGTTCTGACTGCAAGGCAGGGCGCAAGAGACTCACCATGCACTGGTAGATGTTGGTGGCGGGCAGCTGGATGTCATGGGTGGAAGCCTGCAGCTCAGATGGGTACCAGTGCCCTGTAGGCTGGCACTTTCAGCTCAGGTACAAGAGGATAGCCACATTGAGGGTGGGTGGCCAGGGCTGTCAGAAAGCCTACACATCAGAGCTATTGTCCAGCCCAGGTGGGGTGGCTCCATCCCTCACTCCTAGAGGGACCCAACAATGGGATTCTCTCAAGTTCATCTTCAGGGAAAGACCTACTCCTACACACACCCCTCCATGCAACATCTACCCCCGCAAACTGCTCCATTGGCTTAGGACCCTTTACCTCTTTTAAGCAAAAACTAATTGCGTCTGGTTGACCCTGAGTCTTGTTGACTCCCTGAGTGTCAGTCTAAAACTGCTCCAGAGGGTTTCCAATGACTGATTTTGGGAAAGTATACCACCAGGGCTTTGTTCTGAGGCACCTCGGTGCCGAGAGCCAGCCCCGGCATACTTATTTCAGGGTTTTTTTCCTAAGGCGGGTGCGGACGTCGAAGATAAGGATTACACGGAGTCATGGGTCATGATAAATTCAAAATCTTCTTATTACATGCTTTATTCTTCTCATTTCTATACTACTCTACTAGTCTACTTCTCTCATTCTTTACTGTCCTGCTCATTCTTTACTCCCCTGCTCTCCTGCTCATCTCTTCTGTTTCTTTTCTCCCTTCCTCTCCTTCCATTTCTTTACTGTCTCCTTCTCTACATTACTCTTATTCTTTTTCTTTCTACACTACTCCTCCTAATTATCTACATTACTACTTTCACTACTCCACACCCTCCATTCTTGTCCTGTCTCCTCTCCAACTCATATTCCTTCTTCTCTCCCTACTTCTTTCTGCTTCTACTTACTTCTCTCACTCCTGTTTTCTACTCCTTTCTTCTACCTCTTCCCTTCCTCTTTGTTCTATCTTACAACCCCCTTATATACCATTACAGAAAACATTGCATTCATAGTAATCAATGACATCAAAATACAATCTATCTTGGGGCACATTCCTCATGGTTTACAATTCTTAAATTTACAACAGGGATGAGAGGTTACAGCAAAGACATTATCTCAAGGCTTAGGAGACATTCAGGTGCCTTGAAATCTTTTAGTTAAACATTTGTTCCTACATAAATCTATTCTTTTTTCTGAGAAGCAAGTTAACCTTCACATATTTCTTAACCTTTGTCTGTTAAGTCTTGTTAATTTTAGTTGTTGTGTGCAATTAACTCTCCATTAACTTCTTCCATACACTATCTGTTTATAGCCTACAAAAACATCACTTATCAAGGAAACTGAGGCTATGAAAAACAACTTCTCTAATTTACTGATCATTAATTTAAGAACGTCTAAGTCAGACTTTTTATTTAGTATCTGTATATACCCATAGCCTTTATCTATAGTCTAATTGTTTTTAGAAATTCTTGTACCCACAGCCCTTATTTATGGCTGTGGGATTCTTTATTGCCTTAAACTAAGGCTACAAGGAAGAATGTTTACAATCACTAAACCTAAGCTGGCAGTAATTCAATTGACAAATCCTGTCTCCTAGCAGTCTTAAGAATATTGTTAATGTAAGTATTAAAACTACCTATGATTACAAGTAGAATAAAATGAAGCTAATGTGTGGCTTCTAAATTTTAATGAAAATATACTAAAGTGTAGGAGAGTCAAAAATCTAAAGTAAAAGGGATACTAATAAAATCATGAATAAATCAGAGAATAATTCAACAAGAGAAAAATTTAACTAGGGGTCTGTGCATAAAAAATAATAAAACAACTCTTTGTGGCTCTGCCATCCAAAGAGAAAGAGAAAAGAAAAGAAAAGAAAATAGTTCATTGTTGCTTTGCAAAAACAATGAATTCTTCATGTGCAGGTTCCCCCGTGTTTCATTTATTTAATTCCTCAATTAATATATCTCAATTTCTTCATTTTAATTCCTTAATTAATTATGGCTGTTGCCACCTCGGGGTGGACGCAAACCACCAACCTTTCTGTTAGCAGCTGAGCTTGGTCACTGCACACCCCCAGGGGCTTCCTCCCCGTTTAGGTTCCTCCCTTTCCAACCCCACTGCTTCATGGCCCATGCTACACCCTCCTCTCAGCCACTACCCACACCCTGCTTCTGCCACAAGCCCAGCTCTCTGGCATCAGGGGGCCCACTTGGCAAGGGAGGCTGCCCATGGAAACCCCTCTAAAGGGACTTATCTTCCTGGACCACCTCTCCCGAGTGCCTAGAGTCAGGGGGAGGGTCTACATAAAATCCCCCTTGCCGAGGTCCCCGGCTCCCAGCAAGAAGTGCTCATTTCCATCCTCAACCAAGACATCTGCCATTTTAAAGGAGAATCATCCAAAGTTCACAGCTAGTAAGAGGGGAGCAGTCCTCACAGTTGCCTGACCTGGCTGAGTGACTTATGTCCCCTCCCAAGCCCAGAAGCTCTAACTCCCCGCCCCAGCACCCCCATCAGCTCTCTGGTCCAGTCCATCTCAGACTCTGAGCTGGGCAGCTTCAAGGAGGAAAGATCCCTGAGCCTGGGGGTGTTAGTTTTCTTCCCTCCCTTCCCCAGCACAGAGCCCCTGATCCCCTCCTGATTCCACTGTCAGGTACTGTTACCTCTCAGCCAGCAGGGAGTCTCCATCTCTGAGGCAGCCACCTTCCTCAGGGGGTTCACCTTCAAGAGCTCCTGTTCTAGGTGTTCCCCTGGATAGACAGAGCAGGACTGACTCCAAGCTCCTGCACCATGGCGCCCTCTCCCCAGCAGCTGGATCCAGTGCCGTCACCTCACACCAGGTCCACAGTGCACAGCTCAAAGGGAATGCCACTCCTCCTGGCGAAGATGTAGATGGCTCCACAGAGCAAAACAGCTCAAGCCCCATTGCTGCCTGTTCCTATTGCTCTTTCCCAATCACCACACCTGCCCTTCAGGGTTGCTCAACCCTCAGATCAGCACCACCTTCTCACCCCCAATCCTGAGTCCACCTCTCCCACAACTGGTGGAGCTGCCTGCCAAGCTACCACCCCTGGCCTCCACTGTGTCCCTGTTGGTGACTTCCTAGAACAGGGTCCTCCTCCTCCTCCACAGAGGATTGTTAGGCGCTGGACATCCCCACTGCCCTTCCCTTGTGGTCTCCAGGCCAAGCACACTCCCTCCTGGGCCCACAGCCCTGTGTTTGCTTCTCTGCCCAGCTTCCTCAACCCTCCAGATGCGGACACATCTCATGTCATCAGACCATCCTTGTTTTCTCTTCCACTGTGCCATACTCACACATACACACTTACACACATGGAGAAACTGTCATAGACACACACAAGCAAACATGTGTGTGTACACAGTCACATACATGG